GAAATACATTCAGCTCTTTTGTCTTAGAAATACTCCTTAAAGTATAAAGACTTGTATATTGTTAGTTTCAGTTTGTTTCTTCGAAGAACTGTAGTCCCTTTCCAAGCACATGCAGCAGCAGTAGCTGCTCTGCTTTGGAGGATACAACCATTTCCTCCCCTCTGGAGCCTGCATCCTGTCTCTAGGTGCATCTTTGTGCCTGTGCGTGTTGTTGTTTTGGCTCGTACGTGCGCACACCTCCTTCGAAGCTACATCTGCTGTAGTCCTAATTTATACTAAATGGCAACGGGAAGACATCTGGATGCAAACACTGACAGCCTCTATTATTAGTCACCACAGCCGGGCCAGAGTGACATCATAGCGGGGCAGTTGGGATGATTTGTGCCAGAAAACAGAGCCACAGTCAAAGTGAAACGTGCTGAAAGGTCTCGGTGTTGGCTGTCTGGGCTTGTGTTTAAAGCTTTATGTGTGTGTGAAAATAAAAATCTAATAGTTTACAAGTTTATATGTCTCTCTTGTAAATGAGTCCTTGTGGCTCAATGAGACTAACCTGTATAAATAAAGGTTGAATGAATGAAAAAGTTCTTTATTATTGCAAGTTGGCACTGTGGTAAACGAAAAAAGGAACTGGAAAATCTATTGGGATTTAATGTCTTGTACTTTTACTTTCGGAACTGAAACATCCAAAATATGTCACCAGGAGATTTGTCAGCGTAGCTTGACCTGTATCCAAGTTTGAGCAATGAATTTTAAAGTTTGTGTTTCTTTTTCAAGATCCGCCACGCTGCTGCTAATGTCCTGAGAGAATGCTGGCTTCTGCATCGTACAAACCCGATGAAGGGCGGCCACGGCAAGCATCGGCGACACCAGCGATGCCTTCTGGAAGCTATCAGAGAGTGAGTTCCTCCCTCAGGCAAGATGACATGCATCTTTGAATCTGGGCAAAGACATACAGGAGTGTGGTGGTTTGCGTGTGTGCTTTATGGCTCATTGCCTTTAATCTCAACACGTTTAAACACATACTCTTTGATTAAAACGGATAATTTAGGTTACTAATTATCACCTGCTGCTGAAAGGCAGGCAGTAGTGTTTTGCCTGTCTGTCTGTTACCAAAATATTTCATGAACCACTGAACGGATTTACACGAAACCTTCAAAAAATGTTCATTGGATGTACACCCAATTACCATTTGGAGCCAAATCACCTCAAAAAGCACAACAATGGGTGGAATTCAGTCAATTTTACAAACGATTGTGCTTAAATTTGATGAAGTTCTAGCTGATAATAACAACGCACACTCTAAGAGCTACTCAAGACAAGATCTTTACTTAAAACTTCAGCATTAACTGTTGGTGTGAACCCCGTCTTTCTGTTGGCAAAACATTTTATGAATCACTGGATGGATTTTAATGAAACTTTTAGAAAACAAGCACTGGATGTGTCTTCAACTGAATAGCGTTTTGAGACACCTCAACTCCAGATAAAGATAAAGATAAAGTTAAAATAAAGTCTTAAATTATTATTTTTACATATGAACGTCTCTGTTCAGTGCCCTGAGACGACTTCTGTTGTGACTTGGTGCTTTATAAATAAACTGAACTGAATTGAAGATGGCCACCCCAGCTGATAAGCAATAAGCGACAAAAATGACAAGATCTCAGCCATTGTTACAGATAATAAACTGAAATGTGGTGTGATAGTAGCTGAAGGTCATTCACAACACAGTTTTGCTCTATAGTCCAGAAATTACGGTACTTTGAATATGAATTCATGCATAATGCTATTTCCAAAGTTTAACTAAAACATCTACAACAACTTAAGATGAGCTTAATGTAAAACTCTTGCATGAAAGGCAGAGGATAATATGGTTAATTCTCTTCAAGAATTTGTGATTTGTTTTTATGTCTTGTGTGAGGAGAGTTGGGCCCACCTTTAGATTGTTCTATAATGTTTTAACTGCATAAGTGAACAAGAAATACCACAGGATCGTAAAAGTGTTCCCCTATGATGAAGCATCATATTTATATTGTACAAGCTAAGACTTCTTCTTACTCAGGCCCCGCATTTGAAGAAGTGGAAGTTCAGCCGTGTAATTAATTATTATTCTGTCAACAGGACAGCATGTGTGCAGGCACCACATGTTTGCCTGTGTGGAGGGATTCCTGCTTTAAACCGGACTGAATCGTTACAAATAAACACTCTGTGGAAAGAATGAGCTGGAGGAACCACCACACCATAACAGTACACTGTAGACACTCCATCACCTCATCGCTTTTATGTTCTCAGAGGGTAATTCTGATTGTATTATTGGGTTCCCCCTCTGGTTTCATCCCTCTGTGATACTAAATTTATCTCTTTTCCACCTCTGGATGTCAGAAAACCCCTGTGGCATCTTTGTTTTATAGTTGTTTAACAGCCACAGCATGACACCTCCATGATTAGTGGAATATTTGTCAGCGTATTCTTCCCCCAAATCACACTGTATTGTTCCAGGACTGTTTGTCCAAAAATAGGTTGCTCTGTCTGTAGAGGGGCACTTCAGAACGCTCACTGCGCCAGCTTTAAACCCAACACATCACGTTTTATATGATCATTACTTTTAATACAGGAGAAAATGTTTGATCGTTTGATTCATTTTCATTTGTGTTTCAGTTACAATCCTTCAAATGAAGTCATATAAATGTGCTTATGTTTGAAATACTTCCACGACTGAAACATAACCATTTTCCCCCCTCTCTAAACCTCAGATTTAGACATTTACGCCTCAAACAAAGAAAACTGAGAGATTACGTCAGCGAGATGGTGGACCTCCCAAAGGTAAATTACAGTTGGCCAGTGGAATATTTTGCAAATGTTTCACAGTACAGAGAAAACCCTTTTGTTTCGAAGCATTCAGATGGGTTATAAAATCTCACAAATGAGCAGTTTAAGGATTAAAGTAATAACGCTGATCAACTGAAATGGGGTTCTGTGGAAACATTATGAAAAATAAATATCTTACCTGTTGCTGATAGCTCTTGGAACAACTTCAAGTTAGGAAAACAAGTTTAATTCTGACCAGATAAAAACCAGTCCAAACCAAAGTGGATTGCCAAAATATTTAAAAAACAAAAACAGTAATTAATGTGAACAGTTTTAGAAACCCTTACTTTGTTGCCTGCTTGATATTACAATTGTTTACATGCAATTCTTTGGTTATTTAGAAATGTAAACAACAGCAGAAGCAGCTAGCTGTAGCACTTTCAGTTCAGCCTGGATTATTTTCAGCTGAAATATCCCATCAAAATCTCAATCTGCTGCAGGTGAGATGTTTTTGTTCAAATTCTTTCCGCAGAACCCAATTTTAAAAGATCTGAACAATCAAGTCTGATACTTATACAGTGTAGGAAAACAAAGTTGTTGTTTTGTTTTTAGATGCAAATGATCATGTGCGACCTCAGCGCCAACTGGAACAACTCCTATCGAGAGCTGGAGCAGCGAATCCTCTCCATGGAGCAGAAGCTGGATGAGCTGACCCGCTGCTTCCAGCAAACCTCCGAGTTGCTGTCTGAGGCCATGCGTCACAGAAACTCAGCGATCAGGTAAAACAGCATCTAGGGTGCAATCGCCTGCACTGATCTGCTGACAGCGTGCAGCAGGATGTGGTAGCTGAGCTGAAATGTTTCTGCATTGGAAAGCTGAAAAAAATAAAACATGTTTTTGTTCCATTTATTTTGCAGGTGACATGGCTTTGACCCCTTTTTAAGAAACGTCTGTAGTGTTTTCTTCTACAGTACTAAAATCATCCCCACAGAGCTGCTGCTTTAGAAGAACTCGGAGGCATCAACACATTTATGAAAAGCTCCCAACCTGTGGAACAGCACGGAGCGAAGCGCACGCTGACTCATGAACACACAACTAGATAAATAAGATGTATGTAAACTGTGGCGTGACAAAAGCTTTGTTGGGGGGGTTACATTCATTTGTGATGGTGCACAAAGAACTGAATTCATCTCAAACACAAGTGGGGAACATCATGTCCGAGACAATCTCACCTGATATTTGTGACTTTATTAATGAACTCATATTCCTGTGGAATATGTTGAGTTTTCTTTTGATTTACTTAACTGTATTCTAAATTTCTGCTACTTTTAAATCCCAGTTTAATGATTACTCAGTTGAATAATGCGTGTAAATCTATCAAATCTCTTAAGTGTATGAATTTCCTTCCCTGCAGCAATTCAAGTTAGAAGCTGCATTAACAATGACAGATTTGACATTTGCAAGTGCTGCACACAAAAAACTTTATTTTCAGACAAATGAGCCAAAACCCTTAAAAACAAAACAAATGAAAACGTGTGTTTACATTTTGGATTGTTATTGTCAACAAATGCATGTAAAACTTTACACCTTTTGAGTCTTTGAACTCCATCTATAAGCGACTCAACTGCTCCATCTAGTGGACAAGATACACACATCTCATTATTGTCAGGATTAAAAAAAATCATAACTGCACATAAACATTTAAGGTGAGAAACTATTTGGTCGTTGACTAACAACTACCTAAATGTCTCAGAAAACAAAATTTAACATAATACACAAAAAGCTACATAAAAAAAAATATTAAAAAAAAAAACATCTGATGAGAATGCACTTTGAATGAACAACTGCAGAACTGGACTACCTTCTTTTCCAAAGTGATAAAACTGGATTGTTGTTTGAATTAAATATTTTTCAAAAGGGTTTCCTGTGGGTTAATTTGTATTTTTACTGTCAAATGCTCCAGTGAGCAAATTATTTTAATCCAATTTTACTTTTGTGATTTGCACAGAAAACATGTTATAACGTTCAGACCATAACATGATTTGAATTTGAAAGCAGTTAAGAATAAATGTGGTTTTGCTTGTAACAAGATTTTTCATTTCTAAACTTGAAATAAAGAAAAGTGACTACCACATGTGTGTGATTCAAACATCATTTGTGTTATGGAAAAGTTCATAATTATAATTTGATAAGCCCCCAAAAAATGTCTTGAACCAATTCAACCGTTTTTTGTCCAGTTTTGAAGTTGGTGCCATATGTAAGCAGACGGTCTTAGAAACAGTTGCCCGCAGTCACATAAAAAGGGCATTCTGCATTTGTTCTTTGTAGATTTTACTACGCTTCCAGAACGGGACTTTTTCCGCAGGTTTCCCATTACGTGCTGCGCCAGGAGTTTTGCTCCAATGAAAGTCTCCCCACAGGTGGCGCAGATGTAGTTCGAGGCCTCTGCGTGCTCAATGCAGTGTCGCAGCAGGTGCAGGCGGTGCTTAAAAGCCCGCCCACACTGACACCGGTGCAAGCGCCGGCCTCGGTGGAGGTAGCGATGGCTGATGATAGAAGATGGCTGCCGGAGTATGGCTCCGCACTGCCTGCAGGGGTGAGGGGTCCTGGAGCGCCAGCTTGATTTCACGTTCTTCTTTATAGGCGGCTGTTGGTTGTTGCTCTCAAACAGGGCGGTGCCTGTTGAGTAGTCGTGCTCAGAATCCATGCTGATTGGCAGCAGGCCAGAGGTGAGGGCAGGAGAAGGAGCAAAAATCTGGTCTGCAAGATGGTGAACAATTGAGGAGGTGGGCACTGGTGCAGGAGGCAAGCTCACGAGTGAAGCAGCTAAGAGAGAGGACAGATCTGATCGCATAACATTGGGCAGAGATGCTTCTCGTCTTTTGTCCACATGAACACCCCTTTTAACAGCCTGCTTTGGTACACTCGAGGGTGCGGTTCCTGGCTGGACGTCCATGCCATCAACACTTGCTTCTTCCTTTTTACTTGACGACAGCGACGGATCTGTAGCATTGCATACTTTGGTGTTGAATACCGACGTGTGAACTTTGGTGACGTGGATGGACAACGTCTTTTCCGAGATGAAATAGGACTTGCATATGTTGCACAATTTTGGCATCGACTCGGCGCAAAAAAGCACCAACGTTGACTTGCCTGCATTGCGACACTGGTGGCGGGAGTAAGCAGCCTGGCTGGGGAAAACTTGACCACAGCTGTGACACAAATGCAACGGCATGTGGTGCACTCGTAGATCTTCCTTAGAAGGAAGGATCTTCTTGCATATGCAACATGGATAGCTCAGCTTTTCACCGGTGCAGTAACGCCAGTGCTGCTTCAACGACCTGAACGGCCCTCTATTGCACAAAGAACACGTTCCGCTGCTCTCGGTGGGGATGGGATTCCTGTAGTCTAGGAAACGGTTACACACTTTACTGGAATAACCAGGGGTCGAGCTTGATGGAAGATTCTTGTTCTTTGGATGATTATTCATACCAAGTCCTATACCGTCTTCGCCCACTGTATTTTTCATTATGTTTTCAGATGTCTTGCTTATTTGCTCCATTTCGACTTCTTGTACGGTCCTCAGAGGGCGAGTTAAGACTGCGCTCTGCTGATCAGTCACTTGATCAGAAACGCTCTTGCTGTGTGTCTTTGCGTGCTTGTTCAGGTCCCACACGTCGTTAAAGTACTGGCGGCATAGGATGCAGAAGGGTGGCATATGAGCGTTCTCCAGGTGTGTGGACAGCGAAGTCAGGCGACGGAAAGTAATTTCGCAGACGTGGCAGGTGGCTTGAATATCGTGGCTTTTATAATGTAACATCAAGAGGTTTAAGTCACGGATCGTTTTCCCACACTCCCAACATTTGGACTCTGAGTGTACAAGATATTCCTGGTATTTTGTGGAGTCACGCCATCCTCCATCACTACTGGGGTCTTCAGACATATGGAGCAATGAAGGCAACTTCTGATGATCTGCAATTCAGAGAACAAAAGCTGAAGTTAACCATTATGTGTGTCCACATGTCTAGCATCAGTTATTTTTTCTGGAAAATTTTAATTTTACCAAATTAACATGGCTCAATCCCACTTGCTCAGACGTGAAATCATTACACAAAAAACTAAATTATGGTAAACAACAAAAAAGATCCACAGAATATAATAAAACATCCATCCATCCATCTATTCATCCATCCATCCATGACAGGTCACAAGCCCATCACAAGGCCAATAATTATAATTATATTATTAAATAGTTCAACATGTGAAGACAAACTGCTCTGTTATTTCCTGATAACATTTCATGATCCGCAAAGAACAGATTACTCAGACTTTAGAACAATTAACATTAAAGAGATAATTCAGATATTTTGAGGATTATGAGGAAAGGTTATTAAACAAATATCTCTACTAGAAAGTTCTTTGAGTGAAGAATATTACATTTAATTTAGACTAAAATGACAAGACAATGGCTAAGTTGGAACAAAGTGGATTGCTGTCATGATCTTCAATCAAATTCCATGCCAAGGGGGGTTCATGAGAACACATTTATATTAACCGTTTCACCACCATAATTTACCATCATCTGGTGAATATAGGAGGTAAGGCAACTGACCTGGGACCAGAAAGTCGCAGGTTCAACTTCCTGCCATGCCCACATACCATGTTGTTCTTGAGCAAGACATCTAATCCTCAACTGTTCCCTGGGCGCTTACATAGCAATACATAATAATTCATAGCCCTTTACGTTAATGTCTTTATTTATACTGGAAGTGCCCCAGCCCGCACAAGAAAACTGCTGCAGCAGCGGCTATATGCGCTCGCAAAAATCCAGATTTACATGGTAGTGTCTGGAATTTCTACCGAGGTTGAAGATGTGCTGCATCAGAGGATGAGGATGGCCAATTCCTGTTAGTCAAAGTCTCTTTATTTGGCATTCGCACCACATGTGGTACATGGGGTGGAACGAAATTGTGTACACAGGGTCCCTGTTACAGCCAACAAAAGTTCAAATTGTAAAGAAATACAGTAATAAGATCTAAGATATGAACTAAGAAATACGCCAAACTGAGAATACACAAAGCACTAGTAGTATAAAAACAATACGCTGAACAACAGCGGCACGAACATGAGTCTGTGAGCAGATGAGTACGAATGAACACAGCAGTGTCAGGTCTGTTAGGTCCTGGCTCTGCTCAAAATACCCATCAAGCTCATCAACCCGGTTAGATACATTCACTAGCCACTTTATTTGGTACGCCTGCTCAACGGCACGGTAACACAGGCAGCTCGACACATTTAGGCATCTAGACATGACAAAAATGACATGAAGTTCAAACTGGAAGCCATTTTGCATTGGCATATGTTGATTAGCTATGCTGCAGCCATCTGATATTGGATTGAACCCAAAATTAATCAGATGAAAGGGTGTAACCAATAATTATTATGACCTCAACGTTTCTATAAAATCTGCCCAGTGGTTATTAAGCATTTTGCTAACACGACTGGGCTGACACCAAAGTTTGAAAGAAAGATTTAGCTCAATCTGTTTGTACTCAAATGATGTAGGAACATGTTTTGTGGATCAGTCTCAGCATCTACCACACCAAACCCAGCTCAATGTGTGTAAATATATCTGTGGAGTTATCGCCATTTTTGTAAAGTTCACTTGGCTGTGGCAGACATCTTATTTATTTTTATTTATTCACCCTTTATTTATACAGTAGTCTCATTGAGTCACAAGAACTCATTTTCAAGAAAGACTTGTTTTTTGGGAGCAGATGGTGGAGGTTAAGGGCCTTGCTCAGGGGCCAAGAGTGGGGCAAATGAGGGTGGAGGCAGGTGCGGATGTTTCACCTTTTCCACCCACATTTTGATGTCGTCATTCCAGGGAGTTGAACCTGTGACCTTCTGATCACAGGCCCATCTTCTCTAACATCTGCACCACTCCTCCCTCCATCTTGAATGGAGCTGACAGCAATAGTTAATATGTTGATGATCATAAAATGATTATTTTTCTGCAAATTTCATTAAAACTTCATTTGTTCAGTAAATATTTTGCTAACAATACCGACAACCCAACACGCACGCACACAAACGCACACTCATTGCCTTCTTAGGAAGGCGACAATGATGCTGCAGTTTGACCAAAGTGTTGTTTAAAGAACAGCCTGGTGTGAATATATAATAATACAAGCTATGCTTAAGTTTGTGTTGAAATGTTTGCAAATTAAATTATGACCTTAAATTTGTTTCAGCCAATCGAGAGTACGCATGCGCAAAACGTCATTGATTTACCATTTAACATTTCTGCGTCTCTAAAGAGATTTCATTCGCTTCCTGAGAAGTTTAGATTGTTCCCATTTTTCTTACCACTCATTAGCCATCACCGAGAACAAGTTAAATGTAAAATAAAGTCAAGTTTGATCATCCAGACAGTTGTGGTAGCCATCTTCCTCTAGCTTAGCCACCGTTAAAACTATGTTTACCATTTTTAAATCGTATGTTTATCTACTGAAACACAAAGGACAGTACCTAACTAGTTGTACGGGCAGTGTACTTACCTCTGCCAACGAGTGTAAGCAAAACCTGACGATTCGTTGAAGGTGTTACAAATTACAATGCGGTGGGATTCTTTATAGCAACGATATGAAATGTCGTTAATTATAAAGATTTCGTTCCTACATGGTTTTCTGGAGAGTGTCTAACTGTAGATAAGAAGGTATTACATTTAACCAGAACCAAACTACAAAAAGATATCTTTATATTGAAAAGATGACTTTAGTGATGGCGTCCGAAAGCACGGGTTAGTTCACATCCGGTCTAAATCGGAAATAGCCTCCTTCACGTCCCAGAATGCATCAGTTATTGCGACGCTACTGGTGGCTAATGTCATCTAAACTTTGAAAAGTTGTTTGATAACCTTGAATATCGCTGACATTAATTTTCGAGACAGAATTATATATGTATATTCAAATACTACAATTATTTAGGCTAAAAACAATAACATGGTGCCTACACCCAGAGTGCATCAGTTGTCTTACTCAGCATTAAGGCTGATTTAATCAAATCAAATGCATTTAAATATGGGAAATGTCTCCTGAACTTATTCATTCATTCATTCATTCATTCATTCATTCATTTTGGTTTAGTGTAAGTATACCATAACAGGACTCTAAAAAATTGTGCAGCTTTGAACACTGATGCAAAGCATCATGATCTGCACCTGTTTAAAATTTTAATTTTACTCGTTCTATGTCAATTGAAAATTTGGACTCTGGTCTACCACCATTGTAGAAATTATGACAAATGTAAACGTGTCCAATATAAACTATATATTGCATAAGAAAAGTCACATATAGAGATTTTATTTTCTACATATTACTAAAATATATACGATTTTAAAGCAATACATTAGAATAAAATAATAGGAACTACAAATATGTTACAAAGTTTCTAACCGAGCCCTTTTGCTAGTCGGATAAGATGTGTTTGTTTATAGCAAATACTTTTTCAGGTGGGCGGGTACTTGCAAATACGGTTCTACCCAAATAAATACGAAAAAGGTTTAATAAGTGTATAGGCTGAATTTTCAGCCCATTCATGTCAAATGGATTACTTTTTTTTGTATTTATTTACCTGGCTGATTGAGAGTATAAACCTTTTTTTTTTATTTATTTTTTTATATAAGCGTGAACGGTTCGTGGTATTTCAACGGTAAGCGCTGAGTTTCAAAACAAGCACTTACCAGGAAGCCGCCACTGTTTACAGTCGGGTACTGACGCCACTTCGAGCTGTCTGTTATCGTGTTCAGTAGCGTTCCAGCAGTTGGTATTGTATAAATATTCATTCTGTGCGACATGTCCGAGTCCGGCCACAGTCAGCCCGGTATGTACGGGCAGGGACGCAGAAGAAGGCGACGCCGGGGAGAAAGAGATGGACCTCCGGGACAAAATCTGTCTGGCCCCAGTCGAGATCGGGAATATCAACCGAGAGAACGAAGAGTAATGCGAACACGTACCCCCCAGAAAATAATGTGATTTATTTTGACTGATCGATTGACTTATCTGTACCCGATAACTGCTAATACGCGCCTGCGCCAACTAGACCTAAAATAGACATTTTTTCTTTTGTACTCGCCACCATGTAAATCTGCTTTGTTGACTCTAAACAAGAATGTTAACTCCGATGAACTGATTTTCTCAGTAATAAAAACCAGTAAAATGGAACTTTGTCTCTGATAATTTGGGTTTAGTTGGTGCATGCGCGCAAGGACTTCATCATTCATGTAATATTAATATGTATTTTTGCGACAGGATGGGAGCGAGGATCCACCAGGCCCTCTCATTCAGAAGACGCCCATTATTCTTGCAAAGCCTCCAGGGGAAAGGGTACGTAGTTTGTGCCATAATGATCTGTCATAATCTGTAACTGGTTTTATTGACTGCATTGTTACAAAGCAGTCAAACCATTAATGGGATACATTTAGGCTTCAGATGATTTTAAAAATGAGAAAAGTCAAGCAAAAGTTTTATTTCTGTTACTTAGTCATCTTGTAAATGTACAAGATGATTTAGTCCTGTGTGCTGTTGGTTCTCTTTTAAGGCTAAATCATCACAAAATGCACCCGTCAGCGGAGCTGCAGTCCCGGAGAAGCCCATCATGCTAATGAAAGCCAGGGATGATGCAGGGAAGCCAGCGCCAGAGGCAGCAGCTCAGTCTGCTGGTCCTGGACCCTCCAAGATGGAGAAAGAGGGTCAACGGCCAACTCAACCTGTTTACCAGATCCAAAACCGAGGAATGGGCCCATCTGCTTCTAGCAGTGTTATGGATCGTGAGTTTTTAATTGTCATCATTATAAATAAATATTTATTATTATTGTTGCTCTAATGTCATTATATATTTATAAATGTATCATTGTACATTTTACTTATGGCTTGGCCTAGATGTAGGAAGGGCATCTTCAAATCAGAGGGTCGAGGGTTAGATTTCTAGCCCTTGCATTGTGCTGAAATGTTCTTAGTAAAGATGCTGAACCCCCACACTGCCTCTGATCTGCTCAATCTGCTATGGTGTATGAGTGAAATGATGAATGGATGAATGATTGAAATATAAAAGTGCTTTATATATACTATATGACAGAAGACAATGTATAGGTGTGTCTGTGAACAGGATAAACTTCGTGAAATGTTTTTTCAGAACCTGGAGAGGTTAAGAAGGTTCTATGTAAGTGTGGACCAATTACCTATGTTTACTGTTCCAACTATAAAAAGTACTCTAACGTCACAGCTTCAATTTTATTTATTTTATTTTATTTTTTTGAAAAATTACATGTGACATAAAAATAATAATAATTGTATAATAATACAATGATTCCCTTTGATTTCAGCCATGGTTGGTCAGTCTAAACTCCTTCATCCAGAGAAAATGAAACACAGCATCAAGCTTGTGGATGATCAGATGAACTGGTGTGACAGCGCCATGGAGGTGAGTTAATGTTGTTGTTTTTTTTAACAAATTCAGTTAATTGACATCAGACAATAATTAAAAATATATTTATACACTTTACAGTCTGTGCACTAATAGTAGTTGTGCTTGTTGTGATGTGCTCCAGTATTTGAGGGACCAGACAGACATGTTGGTGGTGGGAGTTATTGGGCTGCAGGGAACTGGGAAATCTACAATAATGTCTCTGTTGTCATCCAACGCACCTGAGGAAGATCAGAGGTAGGACTGGCGTCAGCACCAAGAACATGACCAAGTTTGTAAACTGCTCTGAACTGACAGTTTTACATCTAAATTAGACAAAATGATCTTATAAATATGGAATAATCAGAATAGTGGAAACGGAGAAGGATGTACAGGTCCTTCTCAAAAATTAGCATATTGTGATAAAGGTCATTATTTTCCATAATGTAATGA